ACAAAGTTTGCATCATTCACACAAATTCCAATATATTTGTATTGAGCTACATAGTTCCAAGGCCTCATTTACAGGAGACCCACTAATTCCCCACAGCTCCATGGGAGTCGAAAATAAAAGGTTTTGCTGTAACACACAGCTTTATTCATGCCCATATCCTATTGATTTTTAATTTTTAAATACATTTATTTAACTAAACTTCTAAATAAACTATTTTGGATTATTATAGTAAAGAAATGGAGTTTCTAACTTAATTAGAACTGCCTTTATGGACTCTGGTAGTTTAGACTTAAGGAAAACATCCCCATCACCCAGAAACTTCTGGAGAAGTGAGCTAGTGTCTGTCTATGCAAGATGTCTAGTTAAGACACTTGGAAACTTTACCCAGTAACCGGAAAAAATTAAGGAATTTTTCTGGGCATCTCGCATATCCGGAAGTACTTTTCACCAATTGTTCCGGCTAACGGGGATATCACTGTAATTGAGTTTATTTACATAATCAAACAACTGACCAGCCAGCAAGACTCTATTTTTGTTTTTATATATTGCTATAATGGTGTCACCCGGAGATGATTATGAGAAGGGAAGGAACTGTTTATTTAATGTAGAACTACTTTTTTTATCCTACATTTTTTTTAAGGGAAGGAGTTACAAATAGTCGAATCCACTAATGGCAAGGGTTCATTTGTGCTTTACAATATTACTGCACAGTCATTATCATTATTAAAATTTTACAGCCATTTTCCATACGTGTGTGGTTTACCCACAATTACCTAAGGGCAGCTGTTGGGTAAAACCAGATCGGGGTGTCCCCCAGCTCACCACTGCAAACCCAGGGCACCAGCCCAGAATATGCAGCAGAGTCCATGGGGTGGGTACAGTTTTGGTGACCCAGTTGCCATCAGGCATGTTGAAGCAAAGTTTTATGGTTGGATGTCCTTCCTAATGCCAAGCCACAGGGTGGGAACAGCTGGCAAGGTAGGGCCACAACTTCCTGAGGTAATCACAGACTACCCGCCTATCTCTTCAGTGCACCCACTACACTAGCCCTAATGGTACTCCTATTTTTCATAATAGTTCTCACAATTTACTCATTAACAAAAAAATGCTTGTTGACGGATACTACATTTTCATCTTGTGTCAGTAGATCAAGCAATTGCACTTTCCAGTCACAATCCTTTCCACTCACATCACTGTAGAGTTATTACAACTTAGGAGTTTGTTGAGAGCAGCATCAGAGCACTCTTCCCAGGGTGATAAGGAAGGAGAAAATGTGAGGTCACTCATGTATAGTTCTGTGCATTTCAACCACAGCCATCAACCCTGGTGACAAGATCTTGGCCACCCTGCAGTCCTGTCACGCTGGATTAAAAATCTCCCACGGTGATCATGGAAACCCTTGGATATTTAAAACTAGATACTGTGAGTGGTGAAATGGCATGCGATATATAAAATGTGAATACTGAAAATCACGGAAGATAAGTCTTGACATGGCGAGGGACTACTGTATTTATGCATGTGTGTTTTGTGGGTATATTTAAAACAGGCTTTTGGATAAATAATTATTTTAAGAACATCATTGGCCAAAGGAAGGCTATAGGTAGAAGGATAAATCGTGGCGAAATTCACCTCCGGGACTATTATAGGGTATTGGCGAGTAGGGTTAAAACCGAGATAAGGAAAGCAAAGAGGAATAATGAGGTAAGGATAGCAAGGGAGGCAAAGACAAACCCCAAAGGATTCTACCAAATGTATCAAACTAAAACACGAGAAAAGATTGGACCAATACGGTCAGACTCCGGCGAGCTCACTGATAACGACGGAGAAATGAGCAATAATTTGAATAAATATTTTTCAACAGTATTCACCACCGAAAATTTAAACATGATACCCGAGGCACCGACTCTATTCAGAGATAGTGAAGAAAACAAATTAAGTGAGATAGTAGTGACTAGTAACGGTTAAATAGACAAACTAAAGCCTAATAAGTCACCTGGTCCCGATGAGATATTTGCCAGAGTATTAAAGGAATGTAAGGAAGAGCTTAGTATGCCCTTAGCAAAGTTGTTTAACATGTCCTTAAAAACAGGTGTAGTACCAGAATCCTGGAGGATAGCGAATGTAATACCGATTTTCAAGAAGGGGGATAGATCACTATCCTCTAACTACCGCCCAATCAGTCTAACATCAATAGTAGGCAAATTACTGGAAGCAATCATTTCAAACTCTATTCGAAATCACCTGGAGAAGCACCGATTGATCAATGATTCCCAGCATGGCTTCACAAGCGGACGTTCTTGCCTAACTAATCTATTAACATTCTTTTCATCAGTTTTCGAATCTGTGGACGAGGGCACAATTATGATGTGGTATATCTCGACTTTAGCAAAGCCTTCGACAGAGTCCCCCACGAAAGACTAATTAGAAAGGTAGAAGCTCATAAATGGATTAGGGCGTGGTTGCAGGATAGGAAACAGCGAGTGAGCATTAACGGCACTAAGTTCCATTGGAGCAACGTCACAAGTGGAGTTCCCCAAGGCTCAGTACTTGGACCATTATTATTTATTATATACATAAACGACATAGATATCGGCATTGACAGCAACATAAGTAAATTTGCTGATGACACTAAAATAGGACGTGTTATCAAATCTGACGAGGACTCGGCAAAACTACAGGAAGATCTAAACAAATTTTTCGAATGGTCTGAAAAATGGCAGCTGAAATTCAACGTCGACAAATGTAAAGTACTCAGTATAGGAGATGTAAATAGGGAAACCAGATACCAGATGAACAACGATGCCATAGAGAAATCCGACTGCGAGAGAGATTTAGGAGTAATGATAAGTAGGAACCTTAAGCCAAGTAAACAATGTGTTTTTGCTCGTAACAAGGCTAATAAAGTACTTGGGTTCATAGTGTTAGTTACAAGACTAGCGAGGTCATCCTAAAACTGTATCTTGCTCTTGCGAGACCACACCTGGATTACGCAGTTCAGTTCTGGTCACCGTATTACAGAATGGATATAGAATCCTTGGAAAGAATTCAGAGGAGAATGACAAGACTTATCCCGGGGATTAGGAACCTTGAGTATAGAGACAGGTTAAAGCATCTTAATTTGCACTCCCTTGAGAGACGTAGAGCGAGGGGCGACCTGATAGAGGTGTATAAGTGGAAGGAAGGGCTAAACAAAGGGGACATTACAAAGGTACTCAAACTATCCAACCAGGAGCGAACTCGTAACAATGGTTTTAAATTAGACAAATTTAGATTTAGGCGTGAAATAGGTAAATACTGGTTTGGAAGAGTAGTGGATGAATGGAACAAGTTACCAAATATCATCATTAACTCGAATACACTGAATTGCTTCAAACATAGGTTGGATGCTCATATGAGCAATAGGGGTTGGGTGTAAACGGGACTGCCCAGTATGGGTCAATAGGCCCTCTGCAGTTTCCTCCATTCTTATGTTCTTATGTATTCATGAGCTAAATTTATATCAGCTTGTTTGGGGTGAACTAAAGCTTGCCCAGGAGTTTTGAATCAGTATGCATAAATTAGTTTAACTCTTTCATCAGATATTTTCCAAATCAGATTATAATGGATGATACTGTGATTGGTTGCATTGTGACAAGATCATTGGAAACATATTTTTTTCTGTTCAGACATGCAGTAGTTGGATGTACCCAGAGTAAAGGGCTGATAGTAACAGACGTCCTCTATTCCTGTCCAAGCTGGTTTGAAATGTGGGGCACTTGTTGAATAGCCTGTTAATCATAAAACAAAAGATTGAAGCATGAAATTCCATTTTATAACTGAGGGGAAGAGACAAATGACTTGAAATCATTCCTGTCCTTATTGGTTAGTTTTTCTTATGGGCAGAAAAATTAAAGGTTTGATGTCTTGAGACACAAGTTTATGCCAAGTTTATGAATTAAATGATGCAGGTCACCCATACTATTTCAGGGTTCATCCCAGGGCAGTGTTGGCTTGCTGGCTTTTGAACCAAGCACTGAGTCTTGGTTGCAGTTGTCTTCACAAACCCTGATTCATATGAACAGTGTATAGTACATACCCTAGCCCCTGGGGATACAAACACTGAGCATCCAGGACAGGACAGTTCTCTCAGGGGAGGTTCTAACAAGGGATCTCATTGGACACTTGGCTCTTCCTCTTGGCATTTAAATAGAATTTTATGACTCAGTCCTTTGTTTTATCTTTAAGAATATGTTGTGTGTTATATTTTGGGAGGGGTCAGGTACAGATTTACTTGCTAGTGATTTATGTAAAGGTAAATTAAAGTACAGTACACTATTTACAAATGGAATATATTATGTAGGGAAAACTCTTTCAATATGTTTTGTTTCACATCTTCCTGGAATACATAACATGTTTTTCAAAAACTTTAGGTTAACAACATACCAGTGTATAATGTATATGTGTGTATATTACCCCATGCACTGTCATGACTCATCACATCAATATGTTTTACAAATTTAGAATTGGAAACTTATCAATAATTGCCAAAGTTATTACATATGATCATTAGAATGGAATATGATTTTGTTCAAGGAATGTTGCTATGTCCGAGACAGCAGCCAAGAATAACTCAGGATTAATATTTTTTTTTATTTTAACATGAATTTCAATAAAAAAATATTCTAAGGGTCTTCCAATTTGCAAATTATTGAATATAGGAATGTATTCCAGGATGTTTCTTTTAAAGTAAAATTAAGCCTACTGGCCTGCTGTGTATTTTTAAAGGGAAGGTATATGGTAGTGAAGATAATGATATAGTTCAGGAAAAATTATATCAGCAGAAAGTTAAAAGTGGAGTGGATAGGAAGTGCAGGAGCTAAATTCACAAAGACTACAGTATCCATGAGTAAGGAGGGAATCAGAAAAAATGTTGATTAGTAATAACAGTTAATTTTTATTTTATGTAGTTGCTTCTTTATATTTCCTTTATGGAAAAGATCGCTACTGTTAAAAGTTTCTAATGATGCATAATAATTTGTAGGTGGTGGGCCATGCCATATGCGCGAACGTTGTGGCAGCATGCCTTCTCGGAGCCGCACAAGCAGTGAGGGATCTGTCCAGAATGTTCCAAACAAGTTACAGGGCCCTAATTGCCCCCACCAAATGGATGGTCCCATGGCGAGCTCGCTCTGCCTTCACGTCACACGACCTAAGTCTATGTACTCCTCTTCTCTATCATCGTCGTGCTCTCCGCCTTATGCTTCTGCCTTGTTCAGGTATTTGTGTGTGACCAATGGGCGACCCACCCATTACCATGTTATAGCCTTGTTTTGAAGTTCCTACTCATAAATTCTTGAGAAATTCACTTGATATAGGCTTTCTTATTGAACAAAATCAATTTGTGCTTGTAAATTAGTACATTATTATTAACAATAAAAATGAGTTTTTGTGAGTAGTATGGTTTTAGAAAAATAATGATAATCCACAAAATCTTGTTGTATGCAATGTTCTAACTTTTGGTCTTTTTGTATTTTGAAAGGAAAGTAATTTTTGTCTAGATGGTTGCTGGGAATTCTAGTAAGGTTTGATACAATACTTAGCCAATGTTTAGGAGAGCAAGAACAGTGCAATACTGCTACAGCTTGTTAGAAATATTTGTTGGTTAATGTAGGCTGGGTCGTTCTTTGTGCACCATCTATGGCTGTTCTTGTTTCCTGCTTGTGATATATGTTGGCAGTTAATTCTAGTCTTTTTTTTTTAAATGCTTCATTATTGCCTAGCTGTTTTATAGCTTTGATTTTTAATCTACTGTCTTGTAATGTGAAGGTGGGCATGTACAGTACTTTTTAGTTTATTGTATTGTACTCACAGAACCTGGAATGTCGTGTGTTCATGCACGTACTACAGATCAGATCTGGTGAGCATAATTTTTTTAAACTTTTTATGGACTAAGAGAAGTAAACATGATACATAGTGTGTGAGCTGATTGACATTATAATTGACAAGTGACCTGTGTTCAAGCTCACCTTGCATTGTACACTGTTGATAAGAAAATTTTAAATGCTGAAAATGCATGATTTCATTGTGTAGTAAGAGGTAGATACTCTGCATTTAATGAGTAAACAGATAAATACATGGAACTTGTCATAACATGAAAAACATTTATGAGTGTTACCATGATGTGAGGTAATGTGTTGTATTTATCTATGAGGTTCAGGTTTGGTCTTCGGTCAATCAAGAAGGCAGTGCTATAGCTGTGGTATGTGTAGACTCGGTGTCATGGGCAGAAAGTTGGAAAAATTCAGTTTAACTCCCTTGTGCATGTGTAGATGCTGATGTGCCCTTGCTTCACAGCATTTAGTAACCTTTCCTAGAAATTTACTTGTCAGGTGGCTGTTTGCTGTGCAGGCTGACAACGAGGACATTCAGGGTCCTTAGACAGCCCCCATTTATTGAACCAGAATTGATATTTTAGCTCAAATGATTAATCATATCATCCTTCCTTCCCCTGACACCCATCATTAGTAGTTGTGTTTGACCAATCAGCACACTGCATGCCAAAATCTATGACTCTGCCATCTTGTTCATGTTAGTTCACCATCTTTGAATTAGTTCCTGGATATACAGGTTTAGCATTAAAAGCAGATGTGTGTGACCTCCAGATTTACCACAAAAGCTGAGTGCTGGACTCCTTTTATGACACATAAAGAATTTTTGGCAAAATCCACTAAGGTAATATAATATTTACAAGACTGATGACAGGATGTTAACTCCTTTTATGCTTAGTATTGTCTACTATCCAGGAAAAGAATCCTGCTTAGGCAGGAATTTTGGATTTAAAATAGTACAAAAGATTCATACTTCCCATAGTATGATTATACACAAACTGGAAGTGTTCCAGATCTGCTGAAATCAGAAATTTAATAGGATTCAGATTTTGAAGAGGGATGAATAGGTGGTATAAAAGTTAAATTATAATTACCCTTAGTTTGTTTATCTTTATATGTCCCTAAGTTATCAGGGAAGATATTGAGAGAGATAGTTTTTCCAGATGACAACAAATCAGCAGGTGAGTTTGAATAGCATAGATTCCATTCATTGGAACTTCACCAAAAGTACTTTTAGTTATAGGATGTTTCAGTTTCAAAGTACTGTAGGAATGAGAACAGGACCTTCAAATTTTCATTTTGGACTGGGACAGTTTAGTTTAGTCAGCTAGTAAAAGCTTCTTAAAGTGTTCAGTGACCCCTTTCGTAGGTTTTTTGTACTGCAGACTGGATTGGCATTCTTTCACTGTCTTTGTAAGAGTTTCACAGTATGTTTTATTGGCATGGAAAGATGTGACTAACCTTGGTTGGATTATTTTGCCATCAATAAGATGTTAGCCCTATCAGCATCAGCAAATTATATCCTGCCATCAAGCTGAAATAGGTCTATGTACTGCTGTCTGTTGAAATGTGCTACCTGTGTGAGGAGTAGATTGCACCAATTCCTAGTGTTGAAAGGGTGTGTGCAATACACAAGTTGCAGGGCTGCCTTGAGGTCAGACCAGACAAGTATACTGCCTGCTGGACATGACAGAACATTGAATCTGAATCTATGTCCTGGTTTCCCCATGCATCAATTAGCAGCCACCTGTTGGCAGAGCATCTCTGGGATAACCTGGTGTATGGTGCCTTGATCGAATGTATTGATTGGTCACTCATCTACACACCAACCTCTCTCAAATGTATGAAAACTACATAAGGCGCACCAGTTTCTGCATTATACCCTTAGAGTGATTGTTCACCTTTACTGTATTCAGTAGCAGCTGATGTATTGAGTCCTCTACAGTTGCTTGTGCCGCAGAGACTTGATCCATTACCACTCAGGTATCCTCTCGTAAGACGGCCAAGACAGCTGGTTGCCATCATCCTCTTTGTCATAGTCTCTCCCTTGGTGTTAACCTTCAAAACTAAGCACTAAAATCGGGTGTTTACTTCATACAGTAAAACCTCATTAAGGCAGACCTTGCTAAATCAGATATCACTTAAGCCGGACAAAATTTGTCGTAAGATGATATGTCGGCCTTGAGCCAAAATTTCAAGGGACCATGGTGAATCACCCACGCCACCCACACTGGTAAACAAAGGGATGCTCTCAGTCATAAATTACCATCGCCCGTGATACCATCTCTTCCGCTCTCTCGCTCCATCAATTGTGTTTTATGCCGTTAAGATGTGCCTGACTTTATTGTCAAACTTATTTGACAATGCCAGTAATGTGATTATGTTGTAGGCTGAAGTAGCATACATATTTTTTGCATTTTTATTGAAAATTAGACAATAACCATGGCCTCTAAGAAAGTGTTTGATGTCTGAAAAGATAATGATGATTGAAGAACTAGAAAAAGGTGCTACTCTCTCGCAAATAGGCGCCGAATACGGAATTTCAAAGCAGCTGACGCACCATCCCAGGAACACCAGACTCAGCAGCTTACACACCATCCTGGGAACACCTGACTCGGCAGCTGACGCACCATCTCAGGAACACCAGACTCAGCAGCTGACGCACCATCCTGGGAACACCAGACTCGGCAGCTGATGCACCATCCCAGGAACACCAGACTCGGCAGCTGATGCACCATCCCAGGAACACCAGACTCAGCAGCTTACACCATCCTGGGAACACCTGACTCGGCAGCTGGCCTTGCCATCTCAGGAACACCAGACTCAGCAGCTTACCCCACACCATCCTGGGAACACCTGTTTCGGCAGCTGGCCGCACCATCCCAGGAACACCAGACTCGACAGCTGATGCACCATCCAGGAACACCAGACTAGGCAGCTGGCGCACCATCCCAGGAACACCAGACTCAGCAACACACACCATCCTGGGAACACCAGACTCGGCAGCTGACGCTGTCCAGGAACACCAGACTCGACAGCTGATGCACCATCCCAGGAACACCAGACTCGGCAGCTGGCGCGCCATCTCAGGAACACACCGAACCAGCAGCGGCGCACCATCCTGGGAACACCAGACTCAGCAGCTGGCCGCACCATCAGGAACACCGGGCCTAGGCAGCCTGATGCCATCTCCAGGAACACCAGACTCGACGGCTGGCCGCGCCATTCCGGAACACCAGACTCAGCAGCGGCAGCACCATCTGAGGAACACCAGACTCAGCTTACACACCATTCCGGGAACACCAGACTCAGCAGCTGACACCATCCTGGGAACACCAGACTCGGCAGCTGATGCACCATCCCAGGAACACCAGACTTCGGCAGCTGATGCACCATCCTGGGAACACCAGACTTCGGCGGCCTGGCGCTTTTCATCCTGAGAACTTCAGACTCAACAGCTGGCCTTTCATCTGGGAGACACAGACTCAGCAGCTTACACACCATTCCGGAACACCAGACTCAACCGGCTGGCCCGGCACCATCTCGGGGAACACCAGACTGGAAGCAGCTGGCGCGCCATCTAGAACACCAGACTCAGCAACACACACCATTCACCAGAACACCAGACTCAGCAGCTGGCCCCGCACCATCTCAGGAACACCAGACTCAGCAGCTTACACACCATTCCGGGAACACCAGACTCAGCAGCTGACACACCATCCCGGGAACACCAGACTCGGCAGCTGACGCACCATCTCGGGAACACCAGACTCAGCAGCTTACACACCATCCCGGGAACACCAGACTCAGCAGCTGACGCACCATCCCGGGAACACCAGACTCGGCAGCTGACGCACGATGTCGGGAACACCAGACTCAGCAGCTTACACACCATCCCGGGAACACCAGACTCGGCAGCTGACGCACCATCCCGGGAACACCAAACTCGGCAGCAGTTGCCAATCTGCCACCTTCACTTGACAATCCCACACCTACATAAACTAACAAACCAAAAATATTAGTAACAGGATCAAATCTTTTCCATTAAGCTTTCCATTCTCTTCTTTTCTCTTTTCATGTCACGAACAACCCATTTGCTCTCACCTTAGAAGTCATAATCTGCAGCAGAGTCGGCTGCTTATTCGTCACTCACTCAGAAAGTCTGAGCGCGCGAGTGTGAATGCGTTGGTGAGCAGCCACGGTGGCGCCTCTGGTAAGCAAATAACGCATTTATTTGCCATGTTCGTACATTTGAAATATTTCCTGCCCGATTTCCATTGCGAAATAAATAAATTTATTGCTATGCAATAGACTCACAACTTACGCGGGGGTTACGTTCCTGGGACTTCGCGTGAAGTCAGAAACACTCCTAAAAATCCCCTAAATCGCCCTTAAATCACTATACAGTGGTCCCTCGGTTAACGAACTCAATTTGCTCCAGAGGGTCGTTTGTTAACCGAAAATTTCATTAACCGAAACCATTGTTTCAATGGGATATTGGGTAATTGGTTCCAGCTCACAGAAAAGTATATACAAAGTAAAGCCAAAAATGCATAAAGTCAGAAACACTCCTAAAATTCCCTTAAATCACCATATCCATATATATATATATATATATATATATATATATATATATATATATATATATATATATATATATATATATATATATATATATATATATATATATATATACACACACACACCTAGACCCCGACTTACGACCGTCGGGACTTACGACCGCCGCAGAATTTTTTTTTTCTTTCAAAATGACACACGCATTTTCTATACCAAAAAGTTTCCAGTTAATGTAGTCTCCATGTATAATTAGAAAATTATGGGGGCCCCATGTGCATTCAGCTGACTACATTAAAGGTTAAGTGCTCAGTCACACTGTATCCATTCCTTATTATTTATTACTTTCACTGTACTGTATCCATTCATCATTATTCATTACTTTTACTGTACTGTATTTCATTGTAGATTTTTTATTAAAAATTTTTTTTTTATCTATGTCGGACTTACGACC